TTATTCCTTATTATCAAGAATACAACATTTTGGCTACTCAGGAAGGCTAAAAATAGAGATAGAATAGCATTTAAAAAATCAATCTGGGCCATTTTAAGTTAAAATTAATTTGCTTTTTGCCTCTTCAGTTTAGGCTTCCATATGAGACTTGTGGAAGAGAAGTCTAAGGGCAGAAACTGCAGAATGCGAGTCATGATGGCTCAGCTCTCCACGCTCCACAGGGAGGCTGAAAATGACCTCACAATTTGTTTTGGATGGCTTACTTGAGATAATCAAGAACATTCCCATCTAATATATTCTGTTTATGGCATCCTTAAGAGACGTTTGTAGGGCATGTACACACTTCTCGGTGGTCATCAAATTAGCTCAGGGATTAAAACGTGGCCACCAAAATTTCCCAAGTGAAAAGTAATAAGTAAGTAGTAGCACATGCTCGTAATCTCAGCAGCCAAGAGGCAGAGGCAGGAGGATCTTAATTTCCAAGCCAGCCTGAGCTTTGTAGCCTGAACAAAACCAAACACCTTCAACGGATAAGAGCCCTTGGTCTTGATTCTGGACGACAATGCAATGGTGAAGAACTTGGAGTCGTTCTGCCACTTGTAGCCTGGGCGAGCTTGGACGAGCTTGGGCATGTCATTTTAGCTTCCTAAGGTCCAGCCTTCTTGTGTGCAAGATGAAAACGGTGGTGCACGATGAATGAGACCTCCATAAAATTCTTCAGAAAGCATCAGGTCCTCCATAGATAGTCAATAAAAGACGTTAAAATCCTGTTCGCCATTATCATCACTACTAGGGAAGTGAAGTGGGCAATGATGGCTAAGATGTTTGCTGTAAAGCTACTCCCCTGGCAAGCATCGTCTGATGTCTACCAAAGACCTTAACGCAAAAGTAAGGAAGAAAATACAAAATATGAGAAATGTCTTCACTTGGAGAAGGATGGGTTGGTTAGAGGGTGGGGGATGTTTGGCAGAGTGGAAGCAGGCGAAGCCTCCTCAGTGGGTTTCAACCCACTGGAAGAAGAGTCCAGAAAAGAGTGGAAAGCCAATCTCAGAGGTAGTTCTATCCCATCACCATAGGGACAGGCAGAAACCTTTTAAAAAGCCCTGCCTTTGATCTTCGGACCCCAGATACACTATTCTCTGCTTCATGTCAAGGCCTCAAATGAAGACTCCGAGAGTTTTTCTAAACTGCGTGCCACAGTGGGTCTTGCAAGAGCTCAGGTTGTCCTGGTTGGAGGTAGCTCACCTTTATGTGGGACCAAAAACAGGTTATGAATACCCAGTATCCAATACTCAGAGGCTAGACGTTAAATCTGAAAGAACCAAGGTAAGACCAAGCATTTCCGATAGTTGTGACTCCACAGGAAACAGTGGATCACGCTTTATGTGGATAAATTTAGCCACTTTCGAGAAAAAAAAAAGGCCTGCCGTGCAATATAAATAAACAACCTTATGTACAGCTACTTTAAAGGAATGCATACATTTCTCTTTCATCATGTTTTATTTTGGCTGCATTTTGTTATAAATTTATGTACATGATCATTTATAGGGGAAGAAAGCCAAGAATTTAGTGCTTAGTGGTGTGAGGTATGAGGGATGCTAACAAATGCGCGCTCTCTCTTTCTCTCTCTCTCCCCTCCCTCTCTCTTCCCACCCTGTGTGCATGTGTGTACAGACTGCCATCTTTCTATGCCTGTCTTTGCATTTTTTTTTTACATTAATGGATTTCCCTGTGTCAAGTTTCGGTCAAAGCTGTTTGCCGCTCCTCTGGGACTCAGCATTCCTTGCTCACTGCGTCAGTGGTATGCCAAGCAAAGGCCTGCTACACAGTTCATTGCATTTTCTTTAGTTAAAATGACTCAAGGGGCTGGAGAGATGGCTCAGGCACTAAAAGCACTGGCTGCACTTCCAGAGGACAAGGTTCGGTTCTGTGTTGGACAACTCACAGGCTCCTGTGACTCCAGCTCCTTGGATCCAATGGTCTCTTCTGGTCCCTGTGGGCACCCCGTACATGTGGCATACATCCACATGCACATATGAACACACACACAAATTAATCAATTGCTTAGTTAACTTGAAAAGTAAAGAAATAGAATGACTTGAGCATCTCTCTAGGAACTGAGAAGAAACACACTTTCTACATTCAGTCATTCCATCTCAGGTGCAAGTTGACAAAAATCTGCCTTTCTGCCTCCACCCCAACTCCCAACGTACCTTGGCAACAACTGCTAACGTGTATGAGTCCCTTTATGGGACTCTACAGAATTGTAGAATTGTAACTCTACACAGTTCAGACATGGGGTCTCTAGGCATTCTCTATTCATGTGGGTCTACAGAATTTCACCCTCAATTGCCTTCAGCTACCCCAACACTGCATATTCTACATGTCCTACATATGGGTGTCTCACCAGCTTCCTGGGGCTTCTACCTCTCTCGGGGTTTTCATAGGGAAATCCTAAAAAGTCTGCTTCTTATCCCGTTTCTATTCCCACCATTCATGGAAGGCATTATGCTACACGCCAAAGATCAAGAATAAAATATGTGAAAAGCGGCAGCAAATCTCAGGCAGACCCTGAGCTTCCCTGTCTCATAATGTCATGTCAGAGTTTGTTTTCCTTTTTAATTTGATCTTTTCTTTATTTTTTTATTTTTATTTTATCTTTTTTACCCTACAGGTCCTTTGTACATATCTTATAGCTTCTGGTTTTGTGTTTGTCCCAGATCTCAGGACCTGAATCTGATCCCGCAAACCTACATAAAAGTGAAAAGAAAGAACCAGTGCCCCAAAAGTTGTTCTCTGACCTCCACATGTGCACTGTGGTTTTCACACTCACACACACACACACACACACAGGCTAGTGTGTTTTACTGACTGTCCATCACTCTGGAGTAGACTCTGGGTAGCCTCTCCCTGGTATGTCACCACAGAACAGTGACCACCTCCTCAATGCCCACTGCTTTCCCACTTCTGAACAGGCAGCTGTTTTCCTCTCCCAGGTCCTCCTGTCTGGGCAGTTGTAGTGTATAGCAAGCATTTCCTGGTGGACTGCTTGTACATTAGCAATGCATTGGGTGAGTGAGCGATACTTCTCCTCAAGGGGTTTGGATGGGGTCATCCTCAAAGCCTCATCTCAGAACCTCTGGTTGCTTTGTATTCCCACTGATGGACTTCCTGCTGTGATGGCCAGTCCCAGAGAGCCAAGAAAAAGGAATGAAGACTTCCTTGTCATGCCTGGCTCTAGCTTCGAATTCATCTTTAGATTGCCCTGTGCATATAACAAAAAGAATACCAATAAGTAATCCAATAACTATGCACCACTTAAGACCTACATCACTAATATTTTGTGAACTTCAGGGATCGGATTTGTTCAGTGTTGCCTTGGAAACAAATGATTAGTCTGGCATACCCATTATTTAAAACATGGCTGGAGTTCAAGAGATAGGCAGTCAGACATCACAAGCCTGAATGACCAAGGGATGCAGAGTTCCTGCACGCTGTGTTAAGCAGTTGCTTAGCAACTGAACTCCACAAGATGCTTTGACTTTGCAGAGTGTGATTGCATGACCTAGAGATGATGGGGTGACCTGCAGAGTTGACAGTTGATAGGGCTTTTGGGTTTGGAGGGTATTTTAGAGCTTAATAGCTAGACTTTCTGAAACACATCTCTATTTTCTATGCATACCTCCTGAAGAAAAGAAAAACATTCAATACAAAAGGGAAAGAGGAGAAGGTGAGAGAAAGGAAGAGAGTAAAGGGGGGCTCCTAACTGGGGTACATGGTCCCAAAGCATCAGGTTTTAAAGTTGATAGCAGCTGGTCTCTTGGTGTGAGCCAGGCTTGGTGCTGAGTTCTTCACACAGCACACCGGTTCTTTTTGCCTTTACAGCAACTACTTGAAGCATCAAGTGTTAGTTCCCCCCAGTTACAAACAGAGATCCTAAGAGTTGCTTAAGTTTGGTTATCAAATCAGAATTCAAACCCAAAAGAGCCTAGCACAGGGACTTTCAGCAACTCTGCACAGCTTCCTTTACCTTGCCTGGACTCTGATTGCACAAACAATGCCAGTGACCATCAGGCCCAGGGCCTGGGTTGAGGTAGAGAAAGGCCTGAGCCAGCAGATCTGAGTTATTCATCCTGGGAGAATGTGAGAGTCTGAAAGGACTCTACTTCTGCTCAGTAGCGAAACGTCTCCAAGTTGGCTGAAAGGTCGAAACAGCAAGGAAAGAAGCTGATCTCGGATGGAGTCCTTGTCTCAACATCCTGATAGCCACGCCAGGTCCAGGGCCTTGACATTGTCAGGAGACCTCTCTAAACCTCCGGCCTTCCTAAAGAGGAGCATAGCCTGGGCAAACATCCTGCCTGGCTGTACGTTCGGATCGCTTGAGGAGATTTAACAAAAAGCCAGTATAAAAGCCTTACCTCATTCCTGCTTAGGATCATGGTATGCCTAGGGTCAGAGTGCTGGACTAGTTGTAGGGAACCAAACACTAGTGACCCTCCTACTCAGAGCTAACACATCAGTGGGATGGGAAAATGTAAAGAGAAACTAATTCATAAAAATATCTACACATCTTCAGACCATGGCTTCTTTACGTGTGGGCTCAAGAAACCACGTATTAAAAACAGCCAGGGAAGAATTGAGGCTGCATAGGACACCCACAAGCACTCATTCTTGCCATTGTTCTCCAAACAGCATAAGGCCTATTAACATAGCATTTACATGGCATAAGTATTGTAAATGTATTGTAAGTGTAAACACGCATCTAGAGATGATTTAGAGTATAGAGGAAGACATGGTTGGCTATGGACAAACACTACACCATCTTATGCACAGGCTTAAGAATATAAGGATTTGTATCCACAAGATATCCTGGGATAAATACCTGGCAGATACTAGGGATGGCTGCGTGGTAAGCCATATATATATATATATATATATATATATATATACATATATATTATATAGCCATATATATAGCTTGTGGTAAGAGATATTGAGGAGTATCATATGAGTTATGAATGCAGTCATGGCAGTCAGTTTTCATACATGTCCATTGTGGTGATTTGAATGAGAAATGTCCCCACAGTCTTGGGCTTTTGAATACTTGGTCCTCAGCTGATCATACTGTTTGGGGAAATTAGGAGGTGTGGCCTTGCTGGAGGATGGACACGTGCCACCACGTGCTGTCTGTGAGCTCTTAAGGCCTCGCAATTCCAGCTCTGTTTTCTCACTTGCAGTTCCAGCCGTGAGTTTTCACCTCCCTGTTCCTGTACCCGTGCCTTCTGCTGGAGTTCACCATCAGAGTCCCATCCCTCAAACTGGAAGCCAAAATGAGCTCTGTCTTCTATCGCAGCAATAGTAAAGTAACTCATGCGTCTGCATACAGATCTATGCGTATACTCTTATGCATGCATAGATAAAGGATTTGTGTGAAGACTCCGAGCTGGAGAGGAAGGGTGGAGAGTGAAAAGATGCGGAGAATGTTACTACTGCCTTTGGGGAGGTCAGCAGGAGCCAGAGCAAGCGGCAGGTCAAGCTTAGGGTCTTAGGTTTTATCTAAAGGACGACAGTAGCCATTGAAGGGTTTAGACATGGGACCACACACAGTCAGAGTTTATCTTTTAAAAACTAAGGGGTAGGGCTGGAGAGATGGCTCAGTGGTTAAGAGCATTGCCTGCTCTTCCAAAGGTCCTGAGTTCAATTCCCAGCAACCACATGGTGGCTCACAACCATCTGTAATGAGGGCTGGTGCTCTCTTCTGGCCTGCAGGCATACACACAAACCAAATATTGTATACATAATAAATAAATATTAAAAAAAAGAAATTGAAAAAAATAAAGGGGTAAAACTCCACTCTGTTTAAATGTAGGGAGTGATTTGGATGGGGCAGAAACAACAATTACAAAGCTGTTGTAAGATACCGAGCGAAGGTTCTGTTTCTTGATGATGCAAAATGTTTGCAGAATTCTGGGTATTTTTGGAACCTAAATGAGATAGAGAAAAAAAAAAGGTAAATGTAAGTGCCATGACCCACTTAAAGTCGGGGAAATGCTTTGTTCAGAATTCAGATGAGTGGGGCCCTTTGCTTGAATACATGCTACCCTCTTCCTTCTGGATCTATTCTGCTCCCCCACGAAAGCACACTGAGCTATCCTCCCGGTCTCCATTCTTTCTGCCACTGCCCTTCCTCTAGGATGTCACTGTTTATGGATCTCGACTTCAAGGCCTACGGTGCCAGTGCCATTCAACCTTGGGCTGCCCTTTCCTATCCTTGAAGGGCCCCCACTGTGCATTGGGGCATGGTTGGAGAAGCACACTAATTGTGCGGGAGTTGGCCAGGCATTGAATTTTTAGCTTTTTGTGCCCTGCTTAAGTGGCTGGTCCACTGGCCTCAGTCCATTTCCTAATGGACAGGGGTCAGCTTCACAAAGCCTCACTCTGACTGGCACTAATTACCACCTTTAAGAGCTTGCATTGCCCTAGGCACAGGACTGAAAGGGCAGCAGGAAAACAAGCTTCTGCTTGCGCCTCTTCAAGGGTGCTCCCCGGTTTCTGATCATGCCTGCACCAGGGGCTAATGGGAAACAGACCTGTTTGTCTTTCTGCTTCTAGGCTAGATGTTTCTTGAAGGAGTCAGCCTTGGAGCCCAAGTCCTCAGCTCAGGACATGACACCCTCAGTTCATGGCAGAGCTCATTGTAACTTCCCTCCGTACCATGCTTCCTCTCCGAACGGCACATTTTACCTTTAACACTGATAGACACTGAAGGAGATAGCTCCTCCGGTGTGTGTCTGCAGTACCCAAGTATAGCACAAATTCTGGTCGGTATTAATTAGTCACAACCCAGAGACAAATATAGGGGTTAAAACTGAAGATCAGAGACACAGAGCAGTAAGCCACTAGAGAGACCTTTTACCTCTACCAATGCTCAGACCAAAGGGGCAATTCCGACTTCCTAGACTGCACTGTGTCTCCACTAAACCTCAGACTCCACACTCCAGTGAGCCCCTGTCCCTTTCTGCCCAGCCATATCGCTCCTGTCTCCACCTCCCTAGTGCTGGGATTAAAGGTGTGTGATTCCCCAAACACTGGGTTGTGAGCCACCACCACCCGGATCTGTTTCTGGATCAATCTTGTATAGCCCAGAGTAGCCTTGAACTCACAGAGATCCATCTGCCTGAGTCCTGGGATTAAAGGTGTATGCCACTACTCCCTGGCCTCTAGTGGCTTAGTTTTGCACTCTGATCTTCAAGCAATCTTTATTTATTAAAATACAAATAAATATCACTACATTTCTCCTTTTTGTATAAAACAAAAAAGAAGGCTATGCCTAATATAAGAAAAACTATATATAATAAATATATACACACACAGGCAATAAGTACATTTGCATTTGACAAATTCAGAGAAAATACTCCATTATCTATCCTATCTTAGTGAGTCCAAAGCCTTGTGCCTAATCTTTCTGTGTGTACTTTCTATCATAACTTCCATTACTATCCAAAACTATCTTTTGCTATCTCTCAACCTTATACACTTTACACCTCTTTAGGGAGTTTCTTTTCTGTGTCTGGTAAACAAGTAAAACTATAGCTATTACTGTCTAGTCTTCAACTCCCTTAGAGACCCAAGAAAGAAATAATATTAACTGAATAACAGGAAGTGCAAGCAAGCAACTTCCCAAAAAATGTGAGAAATGACAGAAACAGCTGACTGCCTGGACAATCGCCCAGGGTTCCTCTGCAATGTTGGGGCATCCATCTTTGGCCGACAGACTTTTCTGCAAAGCAGGATATTCTGACGGGCTATCCCTCCTTGCCTTGACAATGCTTGCCAGTTACTTTTTTTGTGTGTCCTGCTTATGCAGTTAGAACAGAATTCTGTCAACAGTTGAAGTAAGGTCACTTTCTTGCCCAGAGGCTTACTTTTGCCACAAAGAAAATGGACTCCATGTGGAGTTTCTTCGATGTCCATTTTCTTCTCTGAAGTAGATTGGTGATGCCAGGAGTAGACATGTCTCATTGTCATAAAAAATGAGCCTATATTATTAAAACATCTTAAATGGCATATTCCGTAGATCTCCAAAGTGTTTGAAGATGACCTGTCTATCTAAAACGTATCTTTGTTTGACCTAATGTGATTGCAAATTTGATTGTGATTAACTACTAACCAGCATTTCCTTATTATCCTAAACAGTTGGTAATAATTTTCAAGGACTAGAAGTTTGCAGTACATTGTTAAATGAGTTGTATAGGTACAATACCTTGAACAAGAGTAGAAATGTATGTACAGTATGTTTCACAAAATTAATCTCCAATTTGTATCAATATACAAAATTTATATACAATATACAAAAGTCCAATCCAATGTAAAATATTTAAAACTAGTAGTTGTTTTTAAAAGTAGATTCAATAATTACCCTTTTATCCTATCATCTATGTCCTCCTTTTTCTTTTCAAAACAAGAACCTTGAATCTAATCTCCTTTGTTTAGCTTTTTCCTGACCATTATCAATAACAACTTATAACCACCCCCCCTAAACAATTACTAATATCCCTCACCCATGTGGCCACACCCAAGCCCTTAGCTAGGCAGTGACTTAGCTCTCCTTGAAGACAAGTAGGATGGCTCAAGGTCAAAGGCAAGTTTCCAGAAGAGAAAGTACTATATAGAAAGTAAAGTCAGAGTAGAAAGTGCAGGCCAGGTGTGATGTGGCACATGCCTTTAATCCCAAAATCCAGACGGGTCTCTGTGAGTTCCAGGCCAGCCTACTTTACATTGTAGACTATTTCCAGGAAACCCAGGTCTATGTAGAGAGTCCCTATAGAAGAAGGAAGAGGAGGAAGAAGAGGAGGAAAAGGAGAAGAGGAGGAGGAGGAGAAGAGGAGAAAGAGGAGGAGGAGAAGAGGAAGAAGAGGAAGAGAAAAGGAAGTGTGGTATGCAAAATTCAGTCATTCATTGTAGGACATGGGTCTCTCATTGATCCTTACAACACCTTGGTGAGTGACAAACAGCAGGCATCTGCCTTATTTTACAGATAAAGAGATAGAACGCAGAGCCATTGGTGATTTGTCCCACAGCCATTTCCCGGTAGACCTAGCTCTCCAAATTCTACCTTCAGGAGTTATTGAGATTAGTATGAAAACTAAAAAGTACTGTTCAAACAGATTTATGTTTTCTTCTTGATGCTGAAATAGAAAATACCATAAACTGAATGGCTTAAAACCACGGGTTTAACTCTCCCAAAGTTCTCAAGCCCAGGCCTCTGAACTCCGAGAGGTCCATTCTCACCAGTGAAAACTTAAGGGTGAGTGTGTCCTTTGCTTCTTCCAGCATCTGGTGTCTGTCACCATTTCTTCACTAATTATCTGTTGGAGGCAATAGTTCAGCAGTTAAGGACACAGACAGTAAAGCCAGCCCACCTAAGAATTCAGTATCCCTCTTGACAATTGCATGACATTGAACATTGTTAAGCTCCCCGACTCTTGATTACCTCCCTATAACACGATGATAGCACTGCCCTGTCTCAGAGGATGCTGCAGGGACCAAATGGCTCAGTTATATACGAATTGCATAGAGTAGCATGCACACTGCAGGTATATTAAGTGGAATTTGTCTTAGTCTGTTTCCTATTGCTGTAATAAACACCATAACAAAGAAAAATTTGGGAAGGCAAGGATTTATTTGGTGTACATGTCCTATCATAGCCTATCCTTGAGGGAAGTCAGGCAGGAACTCAAACAGGGCAGTGACCAGGAAGCAGGCACTGAAGCAGACACCATGGAGGAACCCTGATTCCCAACTTCCTCCTCAGCACTTGCTCATCCCACCCGATTATGCCATCCAGGAGTGGCACCGCCCTCAGTGTCCTGGGCCCTCCCACATCAATCACTAATCAAGACGGTGTCCCACAGACTTTCCTTCAGGCAGTCTGATGAAGGCATTTTTCTCAATTGAGGTTCTTCTTCCCAGATGACTCAGGCTTATGTCAAGTTGACAGAATACTTACTGGGACACAGTTCTTCCTTGACACTATGACTAATAGCAATGCCTTTCATTTCACTTGTTATCATTAAATAATGAGACCTGGATGAAGTGAGAATGGACTTTCTCTTCTGGAAGAGACACTTGAGTCATGTACGCGTTGCCAGTTACTTTTCTGAAATCAGCAATCAATATTGTATATAGGGAAAGGATAAACACTAAATGCAATGGGAGAAAAGAGTATTTACACATCTTTCTTTAGGGCTGGGGAGATGGCTCCGTGAGCTAAGGCCCTTGCTGTGAAGCCTGACAACCTGAGTTCAATCCCTAGGACCCACATGGTAGGACAGATCCGGCTTCTGCAAGTTGTCCTCTGATCTCCATATGCATTCTCTCTCTCTCTCTCTCTCTCTCTCTCTCTCTCTCTCTCTCTCTCTCTCTCTCTCTCACACACACACACACACACACACACACACACACACAGAGAGAGAGAGAGAGAGAGAGAGAGAGAGAGAGAGAGAGAGAGAGAGAGAAAGAGCAGGATAATTTAAAAATCAGTCTTTCTTTGAGTTTCCTTTTGACTGAAGTCTTTTGAGCCTGTTCACTCTAAAAGTTGGGTTTCCCTATTGAATACATGGAGACTGCAGACTGAGGGATAATTTAGTATTAAATGGGCAAGTTTTCACAGAAAGCAGGACTTGGTCTTGGAGCAAACTGTCACCAAATAGGACGATGTTGAGACCAAATCTCTGAGCTGTGTAGCTGTAGTTCGAGCCGGCAGCATGGCAAGGGTTGAGTTCCATAGCGTTTCTTCTTGTCTTTTCACCTGCATTGAACTCTGTTTTCCGAGACTTTGCCCAGCTTTTCCTACTTTCCCCTCATCCAAGGAAGCCAACATCCATCCAATAGGTAAAAGCCCAATCTCAGAATGTCGGTGATTTCACCCCTGAAATTAAATTCGTTAACGTCAGCATCCTCCCAAAGGGAAACCACAGCTCAG